TTTATTGAAATATTTCAATAAAATATTTCAATAAAAACAATAAATATTAAAAAATACATCTCTGCACTGTAGCTAAGATCAAATTAATATGTAATATTCCACGCAATTTTTCATATTCAAAATATACCAAAAGTAGGTATATTCGTCAATATTGATTTTCAGTTACTTTTTACTGGGATTGTACATACAAAGCATCCTTAATGCGCGCTAAAACTGGAGTTTCAAAATCCTCGATCAGGGAAAACCGACTTTGTTCGCGAATCGAGTTTGTCCTAAATGAGATTACATTTTTTGGTTCTCCTGTTGACGCAATTAGCGCCAATCATCAGGCTACATGCATGTAGCCTGCCAGATGCAACGCTTGGCCACGTGCAATCGAATTACGCTATCCATCAAACTCGCAACACGGTGGCACAGCCGCATTTACCAGATCGATTCGAACCTTAAAGTATTACGTAAAGTAAAGTCCACTGCGTGTGTGTGCGTTTTCGCAATTTTCTGCTTCTAAAATTCTCAAGGCTAAATTTAAATGAGTCCAACCACCGGCACAGTTCCAAGTTCATTAGTTCGTGCAGTTAATTTTAAACTACATTTAAAAATGTCGCTTTTCACTTTTTTGTGCATCTATTTTGCACGCGATGTATTTTCTACATCTTATGTAGATTGAATTAAGAAGATTAGTAAAACTTTATAGCGTTCCTTGCGTTCAAAATCGAGTAATATAAGACGGATAGCAATAATATTAATGTTAACTCCCGTTATTGTTAAAATTACGAATTTGATCCTATCAGAGGGGAATAAATTTTATTACAGTAAATGACGAAGGTCATTACGTTGAATGTTGCGTATGAAAATGTTTGCTGTAAGTCGGCGAATAATCATCATCGTTTGATTATCAAACAGACTTTGCAGGATGCATACGAGAAAAAAAAGATGATTATAGTCTATCTATATACACTGTGACGTTTAATCTTAAGTTAATCTTGAGTTATCTAGAAACTATTTTTCCTCAACATAACGTAAATTTTTTCCTGAATTTTAATCTTCCACAAGTCAAACTATGATAAATTGTTACGAATTCGAAAATTGTTACGAGTTCGAAAATGGTTTCATGCATATGCATGTTACAAATTTTTCAAGTCGCGTTTAATTTCAAGAAAATGAACTTTCGCAAACTTTAAGTCCAAAGCAAAGCGTCAAAGTACTCAAAGTTGAAAATTTATGCGACGAGACTCGCGTTTTGAGCCAAGAAAAATGTTTAGCGATGAAAAGCGATATGCTATGATTTTCTGGGACAACTCTTATGTTATTTAAAAACAATTGTATCACGTCGAAACGATGGAGAAGCGTCGAAATAGCGACGGAACACGCCAGATAATGCCAACTATAAAATTCGACTCTACCAACGGATTCTCCTCTCTTTCTTGTTGCTCACTGTATTTTATTTTCGTAAACGAAAGACGATACTTTGCCACGCACTCGCCTATTTTGTAGCTCTGTCGTAATCTTCTTGTAATGTTTACTGCAAATATACAAATAGCACAGAAATTCTCGTATCGAGGTAGCCAATTTTCGTCAAATCAATGAGCGTGAAATCATCATTTCGATAATCGCATTTCACCCACCTTTGATTTGTTTTCAGAAAGTCATTTTGTTTACAAACATACTAGATTTTATATTTAAACGAAGGAATAAATTGAAAAAAAAACAAAAAACTTGATTAAAAAGTATAAAAGTGAATAACATTTTCAATAAACAAGAGATAATTTTGTTTTGCGGCAAGTAATTTTTATAAATGATAGAAAAAAAAATTTTTTTTTAATTAAACAATGTTTTTTTATATATATTTATATAGAATTTATATATATATATATATATATATATATATATAGAATTTATATATATTTATATAGATTCTATTCTATGACCAACCAATATAACCAATATTCACTATAAAAATAATAAAATAAAATATCTCAAAATTCTACAGTTATATTTCAAATTTAATTTTGTCAATCCCAGTTTTATTTAATTTTGCGTTTCTAATTTTGAAAACAATTTACTCGATAATAAAACGAAATTCGTAGGAAACGGTGAAATTAAAATCAAAAACATGAGAGCTTTGTTCTTTTTTTAATCACTGTTTCATTAATATTTTAATCGCATTCTTATCCGAGTGAGAGAGAAAGCAAGAGAGACTTAAATTTTTTTTTACACGGAAATCTTTAAGGAGTAGATAAAAGTGTATCGCAGTCATAAGTCACGAATATTATTTATCGGAAGTTCTCTCGATCTCGCAGACTTGAGGGAGGGGAGATGTCCGATATTTTGAGGGGTGCTAACTAGAAACGCGTTATGCAAAAATAAACTGTTCGAGACACGTGGTCACTTTTCCTCCTCCGCACGATTGTCGGACGGAATTAACGGGACTTTGCAGCTGACAAAAGTTACAAAACTAAACGGAGAAAAGTGTAATGATACGCGACGAAATTTTCATCGAATTGTTCAATAACCACACTGAGGGAAAAATTTTTTTTAAATCAAATAAAGTTTTCTTGAAACTTTTGCTTTAAATGCAAGGAATTGTTTATTTCATTTAAGCAAAAGTATTTAATTTTAATTAAATACGCATGTTATATTAAGTACATTATTTTTATTTATATATTTTTTATATTTAAATACTATTTTCATAAAATATATACTATAATTTATTAAATTAAATATATTACTTTTAAAAATTTTAAAATTAAAAATTTTTGGGAATAAAAAATGCATTTTAATAAATATTTTGTAAAATTAAAATAAAAATATTTAATTAAAAATTATATTTTTTTAAACATAAATATTTTTTAAACATATGTAAATAAATATTTAACTTAAGCAAACAGACGTTTTGAATACAAGTAAATACGTGATTAGTGCCCACCGAATAAATAGCTTTCTTGAGTTAACTAAAATTTTTTTTATTTCAAGATAATTTTTTCCTCAGTGCATCCTCAGTTACATCTTTCTAAATAGGTTTTCTAATTTTTAATTTCAACGCAGAAATATGTGTTTAACATCTGTCAATAAAAAGTCGATACTTTTTAACGGGGGATCATTAACTTTACGGCCTAAAAAAACAAACTCGAAACAAAGTTGTAATTTAAATTTTATATTAATTATAACATGTACAAAGCGAAATATAAAACTTGTTAATCCCGAGTTACTGTAGAGCTGATAAGATTTTAAGGCGACCTTCATAAAGGTTTATAACTTTTGTTTTATTTTTATTTTTAAATTACTTTGGTGTGTACATTCTTCGAATATATTACAGAAAAATGTGAAAACACATTTATTACACAAAAATGTTTGAAAAAATTACGTATTGCTTTGAAAAAGAAAAGAGAAAAAAATGTATGTAAATGTCTCATATTTTAGTATGTAACTCGTAATATTTTGCGTAATTATTGTCGCGCATGTGGCACATTAGCATAAAGCTCTAATTATCATTCCAAGTCATTTTTACATAAAGTGAAAATTGTACAAGAGAGATTAAAGAAACGTGTCTCCCATTAAGATATATTTGTCACTGTTCGTATTAATTTTGTAAATGATAATTAATCTCGAGCATCGTTATTGAGAGAGATTAAGACTCGAGAGAGATTACTATACAAACAATTATTACTCAGCAAATCTCGAAAGCGGTTTTCGTAGTCGGTTCACAATTCGAGGAATTTCTCGAAATATACATATGTACAGCGATTCGATCGAGTGGCTGGTGTCGACGACGGAAATTGGAATGTCGATGATTTAAATGTCCCCGATTACGTTATTGTAAAGCATCGACAGATACGCACGTCATATACAAGCAGTCCTTTCGAAACGAAGTGACATACAGTGAGATGCATTATACACTTAAATCACAAAGACCTGATCGAAAATGAGACTTTGACAGATTACCATCGGAGATATATCTCCCCTTAAGTTTATCCACAAAAATTCAAATATTTTTCCTCAATTCGAATCGAATCTAAAGTCGACATTTACACCAAGCAATTTCATCATCGAGTCAAAAGTGCCGATCGATAATAAAATCGATAACAAAAACGCGAGACAGATAATGAGATATTTGAACACGCGTGGATTATACATCCACGTATGTGTATAAACGTGGCGAAATGTTGAAAAACAATCCTCCAACCGGATCTTAAGGCGGACGATAAACACACGTAATGAATATTGAGAGAAAACTACCGACTTGGAACACGTGTACGAGGAAGGCAGTGGGCACCAATGGTGGGGATGGAGGCGACACGCGTGGCATATACTACATCGACGTCGTACAACGTACGAGGCTGATAAAGCGACTTTTACATCGACTCTCCTCGACCCGGTAGCGAGTAGAATGCGCGATTATGTATATTTTCATACGAGCGCATAATTATCGCACCCGCGATTGCGTACCACGCACATGACGCGATATAAAATAAATGTATACAGGGTGTACCTCTCGTACAAGTGTGTAACTTTGTATTGTCATCTGTGAGTATTTTGCATGAATTTAATCGGGGAATTAATTCTAAATCGAGTCTCGAGAAGATAATTTTTATCCGCGATAAGATGTCGATATAAAGTTGATTATAGAGTAATTAATTGTGAAAGGAATGACACGGTCTGGTGCAATCGAGGAAAGCTCGACGTGAAATGTAATCTTAGAGAATGGCGATAAATTCTTACAAACGTGGTGCCTCGTGGGATTGCACTTATTATGTATCAATGAGTGTGATTTTCTTTCCGCAAGACGGAGTAAATAATAAAATTGCTGAATTTCTTTTTCTTCTTGACTTTAATTAAAGCAATCGAATATTAATAATTCATGAGTGACTTATAGATTGATAATTTATACAATTATATTAAAGAAGTTTTGCGGGCCTTTTGTGAACAGATCCTTCAATTGTGTGAGATATATGTGAATGAATCTATCAAGTTCTCCAAAAGTATAGAAAAAAATTACTCACCATTGAGACCGTACTTCTCCTGGTTTCTTTTGACTTGATCAAGAGACAGTCCTTTGTCAGGATCGACATTGAAGTAATTTACTACTTCTTCCACAGATTTACAATGGGCGTCCTCCATGATTACTGCTTCGTAGATGCTTCACTAATGTTATCCTCTCAGTGATTGTATGCGTTCATCCACACTAATAGTCTCTGAAAGTGAATAAAATTAAGCAGATGAAGCATGAAAAATAATATAAATTGCACATTTGCATTAATAGAAGTCTGATATCACATTCCATGAAATAATAATTTTTAATAGAATTAGTTTTAATTTTCAATAGAATTATTATTTTCTAAAATCTAAAATATATTGTAATCAAAGCTGAAACAGTTTGATAGTAAATTGTTTGGTACCAAATTGTGTTCCACTTTATTTCTTTTTTTCAAATATCGAGAAATATTTTTCAGGATATATATTCGTAAGAAAATTATATTTATATTCTTACTCCTATCAATAATTATACATGATTATTTACATACAGGTTTTTGTTATTTTTCATGTAGTAATAACAATCAACAGTCTCAAATATATATAAACATACAGAATTGAGTTGTGTTTATGTTTTAAATTAATTCAATAATATATCTTTCCCCGCACAATTATAACTGTCTTCAATCACGTGATTGGCCTCCAATATAAATGTTTCAAGAATTAAATCTTTCGCGCGTATTAAAAATATATTATAAAGCAAATCAGTGAATATACAAGTTGGAAAAAAAACATGAAAATAAAATTTCTACGATATACAACACGATCGGAAATTTTTCGCTCATCTCGACCTACGAGGTACTTAATTAATCCTTAACCAAACATCGCTATCTCTTTCTAGATTACACTCTTAGCAACAATGTAATCAGCTGAAAAAACACGAGGAAGTTCGACACGCTAACTAGGTACACTGAACCTTAGTGGGGAGTACTAAATTTAAGATCTCGCTACTGGAGAGAAGAAAATCCACCGGGGACACGCACAAATCCAGAACGCGTTATTACGGAAACGGACGCGGTAGAGAGCGAGCGAGCGAGCGAAAGAGAGAGAGAAACAGAAAAAAAGAAATAAACTTCAACCATACCGAGAACGTCGAGGCGCAGGAGATTGTCCCACGGCGTTCCGTCTCCTCGCGAAATTACGAAACGCGATGGTGGATCGTGACTAGTCGCCGACGACGACGACGTGGAGGAGGACGTGAACGAGAACGAGGACGACGGAAGAAGCGCGGCGCGCACTTGGTCGCAGCTTGGAATCACTGTTCGCAGCGCGACGTGTCCTCGCGACATGCACTCACGCACCCGACTACGGTATCCTCGGCGGTATTCCTGACGTGTCCTCGCGTCGTCGGTGAGCCACAGAGCGAGGAATTCACGGCTATCGTTGATGACGACGTGTCAACGTAGAGCGAGAGAGACGGGAAGAAGGAGAAAGAGAGAGAGAGAGAAAAAGGCGGGGAGACGGGGAGAGAGAAAGACAGAGCGAGAAATTACGTTACGGCCGCCGAATATTTAGGTTAGTGACGACGATGACAGCGCGCGTGCTTACCCCGCGACTAACTTCACTACGGTGCGACGCCGTTTTTCTCCGTTTTTTTCTCGATTCGCGACCAAGGGCGAGAGAGAGAGGGGCGAGAGGCGCCGAGGCGAGCGTGGCTGCTGCTCCAAATCGCGCGAGCTATCACGAGGCGCGAATGCACGAGACGCACGTCATTTTTCCCGTAACGATGTAACCAGCGCGACACGACTGCTAACCTGACCTCCGCTTCCGCGAGACTGACGTGACTGGCGAATCCGGCGAATCGTCGCGCGAGCGGCAGCGCCGCCTGGCGGCGCGCGCCGCCAACCACGCCCGCGTCGCCGCGTGCCTCGTGAGACGAATTCGTCCGGTTTTCCTCGTCGAATCGACGATCCGGCCGATCGATCGATGATTAATTCGCGCCGAGAATATTCCCCGGATCGTTTCCGGAATATCCGAGGCCCCTCGCGAGATGAATCGGATCGCGTTGCGCGATGCGCCGCCCGTGACGCGTCCCCCTGACGCGGATAGCGAGCATGTGGAGCAACGCCATTGGCCGAGTGGAGTGACGTGTACGGCTATTTTCGGGCTTCTGCTAGGCTATTTCCTTGGCGCGTATTTTAAGACTCCCGGCGGGACGAATATCTCGCGGCCGGCGATGTTGTCGTGTTACGTAACCGCGAGATCGCCGAGCGGTAATAAAGGCGTCCGCCTTCAAGGTGTTGACCGACGACGGCGAGCGCGAACCTTAACCCTTTCGCGGGACGACAAGTTTGCGAGAATCTATTTTTCCCACCCAGGTAGAACATGAAACTCATAATGGCATCATTATGACGTCATCATGATTTTATTTATCACTTAAAAGTTAGCTAAACAAAAATGATTAAAAAATGAGTTAAAGATGACAAGAAGAATAATAAATTTTTAAGTTCGATAATCGCATTATATAATTTTAAAAAGATTATGTTGCTTAAATATAATTAAAATATATATGAATAATTAAATAAACAAGTAATTGCGTAATATGTATAAAAAATGATATTAATAAGTCACCAAAACATTGCCAAAAGTATATGAAATGAGATCATTATGATTTTTCTAAAAATTTTTAGGTGACTTAAGGTGACGTCATAATGATGTCATTATGAAGTCATCATGATTTTATTTATTACTAAGTTAGCTAAACAAAAATCATTAAAAAATGAGTTAAAGATGACAAAAAGAATAATAAATTTTTAAGTTCGATAATCGCATTATATAATTTTAAAAAGATTATGTTGCTTAAATATAATTAAAATATACATACATGAATAATTAAATAAACAAGTAATTGCGTAATATGTATAAAAAATGATATTATTATGATTGATTCTTAAGATTTCATACGCGAAGTATATATATTCTCCAACAGAATTCGCTAGAATTGTTTAATATAAAAAATAAGTCACCAAAACATTACCAAAAGTATATCAAATGAGATCATTATGATATGATTATTTTTCTAAAATGACTTTTAAGTAACTTTTAGGACGTCATAATGATGTCATTATGAGTTTCATGCTCTTCCTGGGTTCGAATCTCTTACGCACGACATCGTCCAGCTGCTTTTCCATCCAAGAAGAAGACGGATTGTCCCAATATTTTCATCGCGTCGAGACGAGATGTTCAATCCAAGCAAAGATACATGACATGTATAATAATAACATGTTATATAACATATATATAATGTGTTATATATATGTATATTTATAATATGATTTATAATCCACAGGAGAATTAGAAACATATGCGACTAATAAAAGATGATAATGGAGCAGAAAAAATAATTAGTAAAGAGAAAATAATTAATAAAAGAATTAGTACTTTTGATAGCAAAATGCAAATATCATCCCTTTTCAAGATTAACGCGGTATGATTTAAAAATAGAGTCAAAAATTGAAGTATTAATAACGTTAATATATTTCAATTAAACTCAATTTTAACAAGAGTCAATCGGAGGAAGGGGATGGTGGGGATTAAGGATGATTTACAAAATAATCTTAGATTATTCGACGAGCTTTGCCAGTAAGTCTTATGTAAGCCCGTTTGCGAAGCTGCTTCCGCGAAATTTCCTTGCCTCGGATATTCACATTTTTAACACAAGCTGACGAATGATTAAATACACATGTCCATCAGCCTCCTTACATCCCTTCCTTCCCCTTCTCTATAATTATTGGATGTTAACTTCCTGTATTAACATAGAAATTGGCGGTAACGTGAAGATTGGAATGAAGAGCGCTCGAAAATCTTGCTAACATGCTGGCAAGACTCCAAAAGATATCTAAAAAATGTATCTAAAATTCGCCAGATATCTCGGACATTATTTAAAGAGATGTATTTTATATATTTCTCGGACCTTTGTCTTTGGAATTTAAACAAAAGTCTGAAGAATATTTATTTGTTGTTCGATTTAGAACACGAAACAGAGTATATATATTTAATGTTGCAAAAAAAATTTTTTTATTTTAAATATTCTTCAAAGATCCGGGCTTAGATTTAGAGCTTAAAAAATTAGAAGCTTACAGTTAAATAGAATATTCAAAATTTTTCTAAAGCAACACGTATCTAATTAAAATATGCTTAATAAGTTGTTAATTATACGTATCCATAATTTTCACGCTAATACTTTTTTTACAAAATGTTAGTTTTCCACTATAATTTTTGATAATTAAAAATATTAATGCAACGCGATAATTAATTATACATTTCACACAACGGATTTTCGCGATAATATTTTAAATATCGAATTTCAACTATTCTTTTGCGATGTTAATTAAAATAGCTCACATGTTTAAAGCAACGTAAAGCCTATCGAATGAGGACAAATGATTAATTATACGATCATGACAATTTTTTATACATTTTTTAAATATCATCTTATCGTATTTGGGGAATCGTGATCAAAGAGGATTAAAAATCCAAGATAGAAGATAGATAAGATAGATAAGATAGATAAGACTGTTAAATAATTAATTTAGTGTAGATATTGTTATACTGTCTCATTTATTCATTCAAACAGCTCCGTAGTCCAATTATCCGTAGTTTCTTTTTAAATTCAAGATGACACTAATAACCAATAGCCTATTAAAATGCGTTGACAAGTTTAAGATTAATTAAACACGTCGTATTCAATTTCCACGACATGTTTTTTAATCAACGGACGTTAGCTTCTCGCGATAGCTGGAAAAGTCGAGGCGAAACAAGCCAGCCAGAACGAAGCAGTTTCGCTAAAACGTTGACAAGTGATTAATTACATACGTCACATACGATTCCCATAGGACTCCTTGTATAATCACATTCAAAGCTAACGCACAAACCCAAAGCAACTCAATCCAAGTGAAAGACACTCAATCCTCAACCGCAGGACTCGTAAGATCCTTTCTATTTTTCTCGTGACATTCGCTTTTGCTAATCAAAATGTACTTGTTTAATTCTTAATATAATAATAAGATTCATAAGGTACAGTCTGTCTTGTTTTCACAAAGCTATTTTCCATCAATCGACCATAATTTTAACGAAAATTCCTGTGTTTATTCGCCATTAATATGATTATTATTTTATATCTAGCACTCATGATATATAGGGATCGATCCCTCCCCCTGCCCCCTCGCCTCGGGCGCGATTGAGGATTGAGAGATCGCGAATGGCAGGACTAACCCTCTCGAAGCTGATTAATCCTTGGACGGAGCGGCACCCGCTCACGTCAGCTTGGTCCTTGAAGGACGGACACGCCGCGATAGATAAAGGTACGGACTCGGCGACCGGTCGCGTGGTACTGCGGTACCCCGTTGAGGACTGCTCTCCCGAGGAGGACCCTGTCCGGACGATCAGCTCGCTCGAGCGCCCGGGACGCGACTAGTCGGCCAAATCGCCCGCGCGCGCGCGCGCGCGCGCCCGAGCGGACGTTTTTAGCACATCTTCGACGGCGACTTCCTAATTATTTTGGCAGAGATCGGTTCGCTCTCCCCCCCCGTCGAGTTCCCTCCCCCTCCCCGCGCGTCCTGCCGAGGACGATCCGAGGGGGTGGTTTCTCAATTCTCGGAGTAGGACCTGGGAAATCGCCGGACTCGCTTTTGTGGCACTGCTACTTCTTTAATTAATTGCGAAATATTCATCTATTCTCTTTACTTTGATCTCGATCGATTAGAGATCGAAATCTTCTCGGGAGCTTCCCTTCGAAGGGATACGTCAGATTGATTGTTAGGACCGAGAGTTGTTGAATTTATTTCCTTCCCTGAGATTACGTTATATGAAGTATTGTGTAATTGCCAACAGACACGTTGCGTAAATTATAGGGAGAGCTTCCTCGCGCGGAGACTTTAATAAAAAATATCGAGCGACTTTTGAATTATTCAATTAGTAAGTTATATTGAATTATTCAATTACTGAGTTATACAGATTAATGAAAAAAATTTTTGCTAACGCTTATAACCGCAGTACAAAATTAAATCCTTGATACGCGAAATGCACGTATTATTTAAATAATTAAAATATTTTTAAGTTTGCGAGACATTTACCATGTCAAGGAGGACGATAAAAGATATTTTATTAATTAAGACATTTAAATTAATTACGTTTATTTAACGAAGCTCTTTTGTAACATGCAGGCGCTTTCAAGCTGCATCATCTAATAAAACATGAACGTACATTCATTTCATTTTAAGCACGGAAAATGTGAAAAGTGCAGCTGTGAGAGAAGCAGACCTGTAGTCATGAACCGAGTGACTGCACCGACGTGAGGATTAGTGGAGTCTATTTGAGACGAGATGCAACATGTTGGACGGGCCATAAGGATAAGAAACGTTGCGCGTTTGTTGGCAAACAAGTAGAGATTGCGTCTGTGTATGACGAATGTTTCACATAGATATGAGGTAATCTCGTTTCGTTGGATCGCCCATCCTCGAGAAAAATCAACATTCTCTCTCATATATAAATATTCCCTCATATATAAATATTCCCTCATATATAAATATTCCCTCATATATAAATATTCTCTCATATATAAAATCGCGCGTACGACTATCCTGGGTGTGCCAAATAATTCGCTCACGTTAATAAATTATTGTTTCGACCTCGGTTAAATACGGTCCTGATTTTTTTAGAATAGATCTATCGAAATTATTAATATTGGAATCACGGACGATGTATATTAATGTTAAATCAATTTTATATTTTTCTTCTGGAAAATTAATTTCGATTTTAATGCATTGCATTTGTAAATTTGCTACAAATTTATTCAAGTGTGGATTCAATTTGGATTTGATAATCGTTTTTCGAATCAAAAGATAGCAACTTTTTTAAACGTTTCTTTTTACAAAGAAATTTATTTCATATTAATTAGATCGTTTCATCAATCGCGAGGGAGAATTTGCTCCAATATTACCGATGTCTCGATGTTATGCCATTGTTGATCTCGACGTGATGCTAATGTTAGCGTGTATAAATGCGTTCAATTTCCGCTGGTTGCGGATAGTGCACGCATTAGCACGTTTCTTGGTAAGATATGAAATCACCCATCACATATTTCCATCTTGCGACCCATCGCCAAAGATAACAAAGTGCCTTTAAAATTTTTAAAAATACCATATGACAAGCAAAAATTATTCGAGGTACGCAAACACACCTACGAAAAAATGTGAGAAGACATCTGTCTGTGAAATATGCTAAAACATTTAACGTTAATTCCGCTGTGGGATTAAAACGTTGTTGGTTTATCAAATTTGGAGGCGTAATGAATTTCATAATTTTTTTATCGCATTTCCGCGCGTTGTCTTTTATTAACACGCGAATTTATTCTCATTAACTCCCCTCCGCCGCGTAATGCACTACGGCTGGTGTTTTATAACGGCGTTTAATTATAGTTTTGGATTGCACAAATTATGTGACGTCGAGCCGAGGTAATTTCTCGGTCCGCGAAAATTGTTTTACGCGCGCGCCAACGCAGCGGTGACCTACAAAAACTAAAATGAATTCTTGGCTCTAGTTATTATAGGTCGCATAATTCGCGGGGCGAATGTTATAATTTAGCAGAAGTTTTACAAGACATCGCGCACGATCGGGGACATTCGGCGATTTCGCTGTTTTTTATCGGCTCTTTCGACGCGTCTCGACCGCGAGCTTTTTCATCCGCGCGAAAATCTCCGAGCGTTTTACGACGCATCGGAATATTTTTTTTTTCCACGGAACAACGCTCTTGATCCGTGTGTTTTGCTTCGCAAGCGATTATTATGCAATTGCACAACATATATTGCATTACTCCAAAGAATTGGTGCTTTATCTTTCGTTTAATTATTTTATTGTGAGCAATATAAGGATTTGATTTAAAATAAAATTTAATAATATCCCTGTAAAAATAATCGCTTTTCTTTAAATAATAACGGATACAATATTATTTACAAGTATAAATCTGTTGAATTTCTCTATCAATATTTTATAGCATAATCTCTTATATAAAATAAAAGAAAATTAGATACATCTATTTCAAACATGAAAAGAATATTTAAACATAATTATGCATTTTTTCGTTTTTTGTTCTCAACAATTGGATATTTTTATACGTTCATTGAAATTCTCATATTGTCCTAGAAGAAACGTAAAACTCGCTTTTGAAAATTAATTCTCTCTAGCTAATTCTCTTTAGCTAGCTACTTAAAAAATGTTAATAAAGCCATTAAAAGGAACTGAATATTCCGAGGCGACAGAACGTTATTCTATTCACACGCGCGCACAATTTCAGAATTTCTGGATTCTGCAAAGAAAGCATGTAACGTTCTACAAATAGGCGACCTGGGATTCACTATGCAGAACTAATACCTCTAGAGACACTTCCTGTCTGACTATTCAAAAGTAATTAAAAGTCAATATATACTCTAAACTGACAAGAGGGAAGAGAGACTTTCTAACAATCACTACCGTTTACCAAATTTCTGAATTTTCGAATCATATCAAAGAGCGAAATTTTGCGAGGCGAATTTCACTGCAGAGCTATAGTTGTTGAACGCAAACTCGACCCTTTGACGATGAGAATCGAGGTTAATCACAATGAATTAAATTAACCACAATAATGACATATAGTAATCCTTCACGGGTTAATCCTTCTTGACCTTTTTCCGTCACTACACTTGCGTTTCCGTCACTGCGCGCGATCACACGAAGAAACACTATGCAACTGCATCCCACGGTTGCGCGGCAAGTGGACTTACCAGTGCGTCTGTCTTCAACTTTTTCACTTGGACGCGTTGCGGGGGGGTGTGGACCACCCCCGGTTAAACCTTACACACTGCTCTTTCTCCCTCTCTCTCTCTTTTTCTTTCTTCTTCTCTTTCGATCCACTATTCCTCGATGCGCATCGTCGTCCGTCGACGTGCCGCTTTCGACTGGGCCCTTCTACGACGTGTAGGAGAGTCGTGTACGCGACGATAAAAGAGGGATGCGAAACAAACAATCATTCAAAAGGGGGCAACGTCTGCGCTGCTGACAAAACGAAGCGCCGAGGGGTCGCGAAATTCGTTTAAATAGTCCGTAGACGTCGCTACCTGGTGGCGAGACGATGAACAAAGAAAAACTTATCTCTGGCCGGAAGCCAGTGATCCCGGCGGACGTCGCCGCCGAATGTCGTCGTCGTTTTTTCGCGTTTAACCTTCGAATCCGCAGAGCCGAGAAACGGCGAGAAAAATAAGAGGAGGAGACGAGCCGCTCGGTCCAAGCGCCGCATGAAAATCCCGAATTTCGATTATTGGGAGCAAGGCGAGCCGATTTGCGTAGAAAAATAGCTCTAGGACACCCCGTAGAAGAAAACCTGAAGAGGTTTTTCGCGATTCCTGACATAGACTAATTTTAAGAAAATAATAAATGAAAAGATGAATAAGAGATGATGAGTAGAATCTTTCTTTTTTAGGCTGACAAGGGTGAAAGTTTTCTCTTTTTTTCTTCTTAGGATATTAAGATATTCTTCGAGACTAAGTGGATGAATGATTCAATAAACGCGATAGATTATTACTGTCAGAAGAATCTTTTCTATGGGATTTTTTTATATTTTTTGTTATTTATAATTAAAGAAATATATATATATTTTATTATCAATTTTATATTCAAAGGATAGTAATATGCTATCTCTTGTTTCATTTTAGAGTAATGGTTAGCGTTCTGGAAAATCCGTTAATTATTTTCTAATCAAAAGTAGTTGACAGCGATCGATAAAGAGATATGTAACTTGTAATTATTTTTAAAAGCATTATTCCGATAAATCAATATGTGGAAACAATTACGAAATTATTAAGGCTACTAGCAATATATAGAAATTATAAAAATATACAGAAATTTATAGAGTCCTTTAATAAAGCTAGATTCATTAAGGTAAAAAGTATCAGAATAAAAATTATCGAGGATCTTTTAGGAATTAAAACATGATCGAGTTCAGATTCAGCTATAAATACGTAACTTCGACCATGTTCGCGCATTATTCTTATTAGAATTATACAAGACGTACGTTTTCTTCAAGAACGAAAATAGTCGACTGGCGGATATCCAAATGCGATATCAGGTACAACTTCGAGGACAATTCACCGCGAGCAATCTGCTGAGAGATTTGTTTTTCGGCTATTATATTAATATATTAATTAAGGTTTTTCAATCTTGATTATAAAACTTTAATTTCTTCTTCTATCCTAAATACTTTTAAAGAATCTCTTATTCATTCCTTTTAATCAATATATTTTTAAACTTTCCAACAAGGAGATAAATACATGCTTTTCTCTCTCAACACATAATTTTTATGCTTATATTTTTTTCGATCATCTTTTGCATTATTGTTATATTTGTACTTTCAAAAAATATCTTATTCTTAATTTCGTCATAGAAAAAAATACGCGAGAAAGGAAGATCTTTTTCTCAAAATTAATTAATTTTGGAAATAATAATTGCAAGTTTGAAAACATATTTTTCATGTGTCACAAGTTTGATCGCCGGGATTGCAATGTATCTTTTGCGAATCTCGGTTGAGATGTGCACGCATTTGTCGTGCACGAATCCATTAGCAGAAAGAACTGTCATATCGCGCCGAATGACAGCAGAATAGCGCAACGTTCCAAGTGTAAGCGCACCTTGAGAGGTGTGAAAAGAGAATATGCGGGAGAAAAGAGTCGGGTCAACGGTCTGTTTCTCGAATTCTAAATACATTTAACGTACAAGTGTCGGTCCGTAAAGTATCATTCGTCGTCTCGTCGAATTTGCCAAGTCCTCATTCGATTATCTCGCGCAAGCGACATCGAGATCGCAGACTTGCTATTGCTTGAGATATAATGTAACATAACGAATTATAAAGTACTGCGTAGGATGTCCAAGTTTTAATCTTTCAGTAAAAATAGTGTCTGCTTTTTCAAAATTGCTCCATTCTCGATCTATCTTCGCTAAAAAAGTATTATTGAAATATACAGCATAAATATATGTATATATATTTGATCTTGCAAAAGGAATTTGCCAATTAAAATTATTAAAAATCTGTACGAAGCAAATATAATAATTAGAATGCGAAATTTCTTATTGATATTTAATATACGATATATAATTTAATTTATTGATATTTAATACCTGCATTTAATTATTAATTATTATTAATTATTAATATAATTTAATGCTGTTTAATATATGCATTTAATTAAAATGAATATGATTAATAATAAATGCAAAAGAATGATATATAAGATGACTGACTATTCTATTGTACGAAAGGAATTTCGTGAGCAATAATGGATTGACACGCGCAAACTTTTCAAAATTTTTCTTGCGAAACAAGAGGATGAGAATAGATTGTTCGGGACACATCAGAGATAAGTGCGAAAAAGTGTGTCATAAAGGCTCGGGTGCTTTCCAAGAAGATCTCTTCGTCGCAATATACTTCAAAGATGAAGCAACGAGCGATCTGGATAAACATGTCGATGCCACATACGTTTTATCGCGAAAGTTAGAGCTTTAAATACGTTTATTTTAAATATATCAATGGCCGTGCAATGTTAACGATTCAGTAACAGAGTTCTGGAAATACTTGCACAGCCAAGTCTGTTTTCTCAATATTGATACGCGCATAATTGATTGGAGGCATATTATCTCTCGTCCTAGAGACTAGCGTTATTCCTACGCGTACGATTCATTTTATAATTATTAATTATTACTTAGCAAACTTAAATATTCGTAATTCATTTTTTATCAGTCTTCTCGAAAATTTTTTAATTTTGACTACATGTGACTATTTCTTTATTGATTTTATTATTGAATAATGTCCTATCAATAAACCTCAGAAGGATCTATATTTTTTAAATTATTTAAAATATTTTTTTAAATTATTTCATTAAGCTATTTTATTTTCCAGGATATTAAATTTCATAATGTTGTATCTAGACGAGATGTATTTTCATTATGAATACAGAATCGGACAGCTCTGAGTCAGTAAGAGATGTATTCTTATCAGCTATAATGCATTCTGACACGTATGCAAGCACCTATCGAGATTAAGATAGATATATGTTCATGGCGTATCGAAAACAGACGTACGCGCCATAAGCTGACAGATGGTCCTTGAATTTTGCAACACGACTGTCCCGACATGTCGAAAGGCTGAACTGATGGAATCAGTTAGACGGCCGTCCCCATGAAACATCGCGCTATCAGCATTCTCTCATTATAGCAAACGAAAATAGACGTTGTTACTTCGTCGCTTACTCTGACCAGCGGTTCAAAGCGTGGCGTTATTCTTAGCCGAAACTCAAACTCTTACGTAAAACCTGGTCCGCGATATAGTGATGTTTTGGAGCATCATTAGGCCAGAAAGGCTTCTTCATGTCTTGGGTCTCATCTGCTTGGTGGATTCATCAACCCGGAAGAAGTTATACAAGTCTGTATGCAGTTATTCTGGGAAATATCTCGGTGAATGTAAGATGAATCGCGAATTTCATTATCCTTATTTTATTAAGCAATATAATCAAAGTTTCAATGTAGTTATATTTAACGCGCGTAAAACGTTCTTCTCTAGGAAAGAGACAAAACAAAATAATCAGAAAACCAACGATCTACTAAATTTCATTTTAAATAATATTTTTCGTGTACAGCGCACAGGAGAATTAATATCGATTTCATTTTTTTTTAAATTTCTTACATTAAATACTTCAGTACATAATGATCGAATTAAAATTATATTAAAATAAAATTTATATAATAGAATAAAATAAAATAAAGAGAAATAAAAATAGAGAGAAATAAAAATAAGCTGTAAAACTAAGGAATAAAAATAAAAAGCTTGAGATTCACGAATACTTTTTTAAATAAGTCTTTCAATATTTTCGCTATAAAACCTTAAAATGCCAATTTCGTAAGAAATCACAAAAGTTAGTAACTTTTTATTGCATGTATATCACACTTTATATACATACAAGAAAAATAATCGTACACAGAAAAATAGTAGTATAGCGTAAAAATTGTTTGCACAGCACAAATATTGTTGTTAGTTATACTGTGCCTTTGATGGCCGAAAAAATCATGTCGTTTTTATAGCAAAAATATGGTTGAAAACTTATTTAATAGTTTATCAGACCGAACACGTGTTTTGCTGAGCTTTATTCGCCACTATTGCGAATTTTAGAGGAACCAATCTAAATATAAAGTCGGAAAACAATACAGGCACACGCATTGGTGACAACACATAGAGAGAAAGAGAGATGGAGAGAGAGGGGGGAGAGAGAGAAGAATCAGTATTTATTTATAACGATTTTTATAAATGAACTGTTAAACAGCCATGATGAAGCCACCTGTCAGACGAAACAAGTCATCAATCATGACGTATCCTAAAACGAATTCAAACTAACGGACCGATGAAACGCCTGCCACTCATCTCGATTATACATTCCTTTTAATTTGATATATTTGCATTGCATGCATTAATAATTGCGATTATTTCATTCATAAATTCTTTTCATGTTTTATATCACATTGAATTCTTTCTCAATCTGTGGATAAAAATCAAGAGTATAATCTTAATGTTTTTTCGCCGAATGTCTATTAGATCTTATAATTAAAATAGATCTATGATATAGCAAGAGAGAAATATACGGAATGTACTTATAAAAGAATGCATCTATTTTTAACATTTTAATTTTTTTCTTAATAAATTATTTTTCGCGACGTTTCAATTTTAATAGTTTGATATTTTCAAAAAATAAAAATAACAATATTACATTATTGGAGGCGTAAATAAATAAATATATAAAAAAATAACCAACTTTAATCGATTTAATTAGATATTATTCGTGTACTTTTAAAATAATCTATTATATTTTAATACTGTAATATATATTTCATGCAATTCTAATCATATTCAATCATAGTCAGAGAGATCGTTGCAACTTGATCTCCTTCAAAGTGACAGAATGAAGGCATGAGACTAAACGGCTCGCATAGCTTTATACTTCATTAAAGATGTTTTCAAAGAGAATCCGTCAAGACAATTTTAAATCATCT